AGATAGATAGATATGTAGATAGATAGATAGATAGAATGACAAAAAGAGCCGACAAACGACAGACAGACAGACAGATAGATAAAAAGAACGAACGAACGACAGACAGACAGACAGACAGATAAAAAGAACGAACGAACGACAGACAGACAGACAGACAGATAAAAAGAACGAACGAACGACAGACAGACAGACAGACAGATAAAAAGAACGAACGAACGACAGACAGACAGACAGACAGATAAAAAGAACGAACGAACGACAGACAGACAGACAGACAGATAAAAAGAACGAACGAACGACAGACAGACAGACAGACAGATAAAAAGAACGAACGAACGACAGACAGACAGACAGAAAGATAGATAGATAGATAGAATGACAAAAAGAGCGAACGAACGACAAACAGACAGACAGACAGACAGATAGATAGATAGATAGATAGATAGATAGACATGTAGATAGATAGATAGAATGACAAAAAGAGCGAACGAACGAACGACAGACAGACAGACAGACAGATAAAAAGAACGAACGAACGACAGACAGACAGAAAGATAGATAGATATAGGACAAAAAGAGTGAACGAAAGAAAAAGCGAACGATAGACAGACAGACAGACAGACAGATAGATAGATAGAACGACAGACAGATAGATAGAATGGCAAAAGGATAGATAGATAGATAGATAGATAGATAGATAGATAGATAGATAGATAGATAGATAGATAGATAGAATGAAAAATGACAGATAATAATAGACAGACAGACAGACAGCTGAAAATCAGATTCATATGGTGGCAGCACAAGGATGAGGACTTTGAAAATGAGTCAAACAAATAAACGGCAGGAAATGTGCTTGTGAAATGACTCACTGATACATCATCAGCTGGCCACAGCAGCAGGTCTCTCTGTGGATCACTGTGGATCTGAGCTTTCCTCTGGAACACCACATTCTCATAGTCCAGCGGCTCGATGATCTTGGGCTGCTCCTGCAAACACACAGGACGGATCCATGAATTTATAGACCGTTTCCCTCAAAAGGCCTGTGATGTCTACAGTCAATGTTTGTGTCCCTCTTTATTACTGCTACTGAACATACTAAAGCAATGCACACTGTAATTACTCAGATTTGCTTTTATCTGTTGTGTAGCCTACACAGATTTGACAGCTCTGTCTGTGAATTTATCAGCCCCTCTGCAACCTTAGCAAAGCAAAAATCTGCCACAGGATTTCCGATTTCTTATTTGTACAGCTTTTGAGTTCAGTTCAAAGCTTTCTCCCAAGTGCTTTCTCTTTTCAAGTTCCTTCTAAAAGAGAATCATGTGTTAAAGCTTAAACACACACTCCTGACTCAGCTGACATGCCCGTGTCATGCTCTGATACTCATTCAAAGAGTTTAGCCCATGGAAGAGAAAGTGTTTTCACCAAAACAAACCATGTGGGATGAACAGAAGAGACGGGCAGTGGACTTTATCTTTTGCACTCTTTTCACCCATGTTTCTCCATACAGGAATTGCCAAACAGATGACATTTCAGCTGACTTGCCAGCAACTCATGTTAGGAAACCTTCAATTTATGACTTTAACCTTTTGCTAAAGGTGTTTTTGCTGAAAATAAACTATGAGCAGTCAGAGATATGAAGAGAGGAAGTTATAGTTTCATAACTACATAAGGTTTAGAAGAGAAAATGGGCAGCTGGTGTCTTCTGTCTAAAGTTCGAGGCTGGGTAAAGCAGCTCATTGTTTCTAATGTTTAAAGCGGTTCAGCTTTGACGGGATCAGAGGGGCTTGAACCCATAATCACACAGGTCATTTGTGAATATTTCAGCTGAACTCAAACGGAATGAAATGAGTCCAAATTAAAGCAATTTCAAACGAATCCTTTTTAGAAATCATGCTGTAAAAATGATTCCTACCTTCATAGCTGCAGAAAATGCTTAAGTGGATTTAAAAAAAAAAAAAAAAGTCAAATTTAATTTGCAATAAAAAATAAATAAAGCCATGAGTTCAGTCTTCAGTGTCACGTGATCCTTCAGAAATCATTTTAATATACTGATTTGGTTCTCAAGAAACATTTCTTATTATTATTATTAGGGATGCGCCAATCCGATATTCATATCGGGTATCGGCTCCGATAGTGCCATTTTTCTCGGATCGGGTATCAGTCAGAGAGAGCCGATCCAAATCCGATTTTTTTTTTTTGTGTGTGAATTATTCTGTGTTATTTCTGAAGCCATATGATAGCTTAATGCGAGCTACATATGAATATTTAAGTCCTTACATTAAAGTTCACACAAACTCTTTTCTCCGCTGTGGCTGTCAGTCATTTGTTCAGTCTTTAAACCCTGGTCGCGTTCGGTAAAGCTCTCTCCCAAGATCATTCTGTGTTCCCATTATACTTGATTTGTAAATACATGTCTATGATTTTGCAAAAAGGACTTTATCTTCTTGCCGGAGTTTAATGTTTTGTTACTTGCTACCGGGTGTCTGTGAGAACAAAACACAGGCGTAGAAAAGACTATAAATCGTTTTTAACCTGCACAGTAACTGAAATTTAAAACTGTTAAAAGAAAGTCTCAATAACTGTTGCACAGATATAATACACTACGCATCAATTTCTCTTCCCTTTGTGCTTTGCAGTTTTAAGCGCTTCGTGCTCATAGACTGTCAATCCTCTATATTGCGACTAAATCTTCACTCTGGGTGACTAAATGATGTCTAATATCAGCCGATGGCTAATCAATTCTCAGATTTTACTCGTCAGTGTGTGAGTTGGAGGCTGAGTATATGATTAGCACAGATATATTTTCACTCACAGAACACTCTGACTGAGCGCTTCAGAGTTTCACTCTCCGTCAAGCGATCTGATATTTTTCAGTTCATTTGAATGGATGCGCAGCGCACCTGTGTTTGTGTTTGGCGTAACGTAAACTCTAGCGTGAAGCGCACGACTCACCGACGCTTTCTCTCACTGCGAGCAAAGAGCGAGAGCGAGCGAGAGTCTTACATAACATGCAGAATTGAT